CACCCTGGAGAGCTGCACGGTGCTTCCTTCGCTCCCCCCCGCCCCCCGCCACCCCCGGGCACTCCTGGCCCCACAGAGCAGAGCGCAGGTGTGAGCAGAGCCGCGTCTCCTGCTGTGCACGTGTGCCCGGGCAGGGGCGGCAGGCCCAGCGGGGCCGCCCCACGCGCTGCAGCCTGCCTGGCCCTCCTCCCGTGCCCCGCCCAGGGTGAGGCGTCCCCCGCGCCGGACCAACCCAGCCCCCAGAGCTCGCAAGAGAAGGGCAGGCCGGGGGCAGCCGCAGGAACCTGAACCAGCTTTCAGTTCCGCTGGTTCTCACCGTCGTCACAGTATGGCCCCACTTCCCTTCCCCCGTCACCGCGCACCCTGGCAAGCCTTCCGGATGGGGCTGGGAAGGGGCCGAGGGAAAAGGGGGCCTTCTCTGCGTCTCTGTAGCAGTCATAGGCTGTCAATCCGCCCGACACACCCTTTCTGTCAGGACATTTGTCCCCACCTCCAACCACCTGGCTCCTGGCCCTGTGGTGGCCACAGGGCCCAGGCCTTGAGTGCGGGTCAGTCCTGTGGCCCCAGGGATGGCTTCATGGGAGAACACAGGAGGCACGTCTGACGGTCAGAGTTCTCTCCTATGCTTGTTTCCTGGACTCTCCGGAAAGATTTGGTCCCTTTCTCTGGGGCCCCATGCACAGGGACAGTGTGAGTGTGGGGCCACCCCTGGGCGTCTTGCAGCCAAGTAGAGCGTGCCTTGTGGAGGGCCCCAGACGTCTACAGCCTCCTCCACCCTTGCTAGATTTCCCAGTTATGAGAACTAAGACCACCCTCCTTTTTTCTCTTAAGGGCGTCCAGCATTTCTGAGAGTTTCTGTTGCTTAAGCCTGAAAAGGTCCTGACAAATTCAGCAGGAAGGTGTCTTTCAATCTTCAACAGATGATCTAAGCGTCCCCTTGTGTTAAAACTTCAAGGTCCCAGAGACCCTCCCTGAGCTCATGTCTAGGGGCTGAGAGAGCGAGGGTCTCAGGATAGACGAACAGGATGCAGGTTGGCGGGCACCGTGGTAAGTAATGTGGGAGGAGAAGGGGGGCAGTCAGGGACTGTTCTGAGTTCTGTGCGTGATGGGAGCTGTGGGCGGCTTTTGAGCAGGGCTGTGCTCACGGGAACAGGGGCAGTCTGCAAAGGTGAGCTCACAGGAGGCTGTTGGTGTCTGGGGTGGAGAGCAAGGATTCGGGGGGTATCCTGAGGGAAGCCCCCGTGTGCTTGGCAGCTGTTGGTGCTGCCACCTGAGGCGTGTCACCGGCACCGCTGTGAGCAAGTGGGCAAAGGGCAGAGGCAGATGGCACTAGGGGGTGAGGGAAGGGGCAGCCAGCCAGCTCCTGGCAGGACTGAAGAGGGTCTGCAGGATTGTCCACTTAGAACCATGTTCTCAGAGTCCCAAAGCCCAAAGCAAGATGGGTCCCCAGAGCCCTCCTCATCCGATCCCTCATTTTACTGATGTCTGAACTGAGGCCAAGTGTCAGGAAGGGACCTGCCAAAGGCCACTTGGCTCGTCACCAGCAGAGCCAGGCCTGGAGGTCGGCTGCCCAGAGCCACAGTCCAGAATCTGCCCTGCTCACTCGAGCCCCAGCCCATGATGCTGTCTCGTTTTTCACTAGGGGAAATGACCGTGGGAAGGGGGGCCTGCCTGGGGAAGGTGTGTTGAATAGTCAATAATTGGGAGTAAGGGCAGAAGGAGAGCTTTGGTTGCCACCAATCTCTTCAGAATTTTTAAACTAGTCAGGGAATATTGACATGCATTAAATCCAATAAAACATTCATTTAATTAAACTTTAAGTGATCCAAATATTTGCCGTTTGGTTAATATTTGTGTAGCTGACAGGAGCAGAATTATGATGGTTCTGTCAGTATTCACGCATTCTAATTTTGCATGAGCCTTTCCTACGCGAAGTGCACATCTTCAGACATACAGATGATCGGGGAAGCACTGAGGAAGCAGTCTGGAACCAGCTGTCCCAGCAGCCTTCCCACTCGGGTTTTTGCTTCTTTGTTTGTTTGGTTGTAGCCCTGTGCTAAACTGTTTGAAATACATGACCTTGGGGCCACGTGGAGGATCCGACATTGCACGTAGGTCTTACATTCCAAACGAGACCCCAGCCAGCCAGAATACCTCACCTCCCCATCCTCCACCCACCGCCCCACCCCCACACTCTCCCCTTCCATCTACCCAGACACCCCCCCCCATCTTTTAAGGCAGTGGTTGTCAGGGCTCAGGGTATCCTGAGATGCTTGCTAAAACCAGGATGCCCACCCTGCCACCAGAGACTTATCAGCCTGGGGTAGAGGGGCAGGAATCTGCATTTCTATCAGTTGCCCGCCCCCCCCACCCAGGCGAGAGATGCAATGCCGGTGGGGGGAGGGGAGAACCACACCTGGAGAACAGGACTCTGTAGCCCAGGGATGGCCCGCCTCCCCCAGGGACTGCTGCCTGAGGGCTCAGTGGCTCTTTCCCTTGTCATTGGACTAGAGTTCCAAGATGCAGAGAAAATGTCCTTTCCTTTGGTGACCCGCCTGATTTCTTCGCAAGCCCCACCCACCAGCGCTGGGAGGACAATGCACCTGAATGTTCAGGCCATTGTAAAGCTTAGTCGGAGCGGGTTGTTCTTAACAAGTCCACATTAAGTAATGGTCTATCTAAGGAAAATGCTTCATGCCTGCAGTTCCCACCTGGCATCCCCAGCTGCTCCCCAAACTGGGTTCTGAGTGTGGATAGAAGCACACAGCCATCCTCTGTCACCTTCGGTGCCCCCGGCAGGCTCCCAGTTACCCTGTCTCGGGTCCTCTTGGCGGGGGTCATCCCAGGTTCTGCTCTTGGTCTGGGCTGTCTCAGTGTCTGATGTCCCCCCACAGCTTGGCCTCCAGTAGCCCCCACTGGCACTGCGCACCCCTGGAGGTTCCAGGGGCGTTCCCTTAGGGCCTTGGTCCTCAGGCACAGAGGTACACAGCACCTCACGGCCCCGCCAGGGTGGCCAGGAACCTTTGGATCTCTCCATGCCGTTCGGGAGCCCAGGGGCCTCTGGCTCTGTGCCAGGCCTCATGGGCTCACCCCGGGGGGAGAGTGGGGAGAGAGCTTCACCCTCTTCTAGAGCCCCCCTTGGCTCCCCTCACCTACATGCCAACAGGCACACCCTTCGCACTGGTTCCCTCATTCCCACAACACCCTGGGAAGAGGAAGGGGTCTGTGTTCTATTTCCACAGAGCCTCGTGGCTCGCCCGATAAGGAAGGAGTACCTCCTCTACACTCGGGGACAATCTGGGTTCTGAGTCCTAAGGGCCAGCAGAGCACAGAAGAAGCCAGACCCGTGTCGTACATCCTTCTTCCCTCTCTCTGTCCCCTCTGAATCTCCAAAGCCTGGAGCTCGCTATGGAGGATGAGCTCCTTCTCTCTCCTGCCTTGACCAATAAGCCTCATGACTCAGAGGTGGGAGGGCAGCAAGCAGGACGTGATTTAAGAGGGAACCTGAAATGCATCACTTTAATGTTTGTAAAATATTATGCCGGGTGCGTTGGCATCAATCACTTGGTGCTTATCTTTCCCCCTGCGGCTCTTTCACGGGGAGTCACATTTTTCCTGCGCGTGAGTGTCCCCGCTCCACGGGCCCGTTGGCTCCTTTCCTTCCTTATTTCCATTTTCTCCGTGTTTCATCCATCCATCCAACAAGCACTGATTAAGCACCTAGTGTATATCTTGTTCATCTTCCTGAGCCCAGGGCCGGGCCACTGACTGTGGCGGGGAAAGGGCGTCGCTAACTCAGGATCTGACCTGACTGGACTTGCTGTCACTTCACCTACTTTGCAGGGCGTCACACCTGCTGGGGCTTGCGGTCCCTCCCCCCACCGCCCCACCGCCCCTCCGCCCCACCGCCTTCTCCTCCCCACACACGCTGGCAAGAGGGTGCGAGCACAGACATGCTGCCTGGTCACAGTTCAAAGGGGGCCCGCCGAGTCACAGAGGTCAATCCCCAACTCTGTGCCTTGCCCCACCCCTGGCAGGACCCTCAAGGCTCAAAAGAGTAGTAAGAGTCAGGAGGGCTCCCGGCATTTTTGCTGGCATCCCAGATAAGCACAGACCCTCAGAGCCAGCCAGCCCGCCTCGCTCAGCTCCTGCCACTGTTGCCTGCTGCCCCAGGTGCTCTGAGCTGTAGATCTGGGGGAGGAGTAGGGAGAAGGCAGTCCTGTCGCTGGGCTTGTGACTCTCCCTCCAACCCTGATCCCATGTCGGTATATGAACAACCTGAGTCCAATTAACTTTCTCATAAATCCCGAAAATTTCTAAAAGCCTGTGATTGCAAGTAAATATTTTAGACCCTTCCCATTTGCCTAAAGAATGATCAGTCTTAATGCCAGTTAGCAAGTATAAAATGGCAAGGATTAATAATTTGTACAGCCTGAAGTACACTTCAAAAAATTAAAGGCTACAGTGCATGGTTGCTGAACAGAAATCCAAATCCAAGTTCAAAGAATCCTCAGACAGAAACAAACCTCCAAAGGTCAGCCAGTTCATTCCCCAGACTTCAGACAGTGCAACCTTTAAATTGCCCCCAGATGGATGAGAAACCTGTCAGCTCAGCCAGCAGACCTTGACTTGCACTAAGCAAGGCCCAGACTTCATGAGGCCCAGGAGCACAGAGCAGGGCGTCCGCCGCACATCTGGCCCCCTGGTCCCTGTGTGACAGCCCACATGCTTGGCTCAACTCATAAATCCATAGCCCAGATGGTTTCCCTACACTTGCTATGGCTCCTAACTTCTCTGACTCTCAGAGCCCTTTGAACATTTCCCGTAAGTCGCGGCCCATCCCCCAGAAAGGAGTGTCCATCGGTACGTTTAGACAGCACACCGTAGCAGTTTCTCGGGAGACTGCCAGCCTCCTGCCAGAAAACCCTGTGGCCATTTGCCTGTGAGTGGTACTCCCCATGCTGGTGTGCACCTGATGACTTTCTCCTTGTCCCCTGCAGGGGTGGTTCAGCTCAGCCTCGCGCCTGAGGAGAGGGTCAGTGTGGCCACAGTGACCGTGGGGCTGAGCACCGTGCTGACCTGCGCTATCCGTGGAGAGCTGCGACCACCCATTGTCTGGAAGCGCAATGGGCTTGCCCTCAACTTCATGGCCTTGGAAGACATCAATGTAAGTGGCTCGGCTCTGACCCTGAACACAGAACACAGACCTGCCCCAGGGAAGTAACCTGCACATCGCCCGTGGCAGTGGCAGGGTGAGAGCGTTTCATTTTAACATCCCACGTTGGATGCCTTTCAAGCCTGTTGTCGGAGAGCAGGAAGTACCAGAAAACCCAAGTGTGCAGAGAATAGACTGGACGTTCGTTGCAAGCCTGCCAGCCAGACCCACAATAGGGAAAGGGCGCGCTGACCAGGCAGGCAGGGCAGGCAGGGCGGGAGGCCTCCGTGCAGGCTGCGGCAGCGAAGGCCAAACAGTGGGCATGGGAATGGGAGGTGAGGGGCTCAGACTGCATGACAGAGCCCACCGTGAGGGAGGACCACAAGCCCACAGCAAACGTGGCCGGCCGGGAGACAGTGGAGTGGGGAGGGCGTGTGGCTGAAGAGCCAGGGGAGACTGTGGATCCCACAGCTGGGGAGGATGTAGACAGGGGGAAGAGAGGGAACGGGGGTTCCCTGTGGAGGGCAGGGGTGCACCGCCTGGCTGGGTGGGCGGCAGGGCAGGCACCAGGTGAGGAGGTGAAAGGAAGGGGATCAGGCCAGTGTGGCCTGCCCTGGGAGCCTTGTTGGCTGGACGTGGGAATGTGGATTTGATGAGGGGAGAGGAGGAGAGAGCAGCTGAGCACCTGCAGCCTACCGTGACCAGCAGGGATATTTCTGTAATGGGGGGTCCCGTGCAGCTTGGACTGGGCTCCCAGTGTCACCCCAAACCAGCCTCATGACTTTGAGCAACGTCTTAAACCACCAACCCTAACTATCAGAAAGGGAATATTAGCAGTGCCTCCCTTCCATTGGGCTTGAAGAATAAAGGGCATCCTTCAAGTATATGGATTGGCCCAGGTTTGGCCCAACGAGTGACATGGCTTCCCAGAAGTTCATTGAGAAGACAGAGGGACGTCACTGACATAAGGCCCCACCAGGACAGCTGACAGGTCTTAGCCAGTGTAACAGGCCTCTCCGTTTCAGGCAGAAGAGGAGGCAGTCCTGGTCTCCTCGACTTAGGACAGGCAAGCTGGCCCTGAATGGTGTGCTTGGCCCCAAGAAGGAAGATGTGTGGGATGCGTCGTCAGTTCCCACGAACATCTCTAAGGTGGTGAGGGAGGGACTAGGGCAGCAGGAGCCTGTCTGGGCTGTGTGACCCCATGAGTTCGCGAGCACACAGGGCCAGGGTACTCCCACAAAGAAACCAGTTTGGACTGCTGAGATGGAACACCATGACAGCCATCACAGCGGCCCCAAACTGGAGTGAGCCTCCACAGGAAGCAGTGAGCTCCCCTTTCCTAGAGGCATGCAAGCTCAAGCAGGACCATGGTCAGCAATGCTACTAGCCACACAAGGGCAGCTAAATCCCATGACCTTGAAGATTCCTTCCAACTGCGAGACTGCTTTGTGGGGAGAGAGCCCAGCATACAATTCTGTGGAAACCACCAAGTTGGGACTCTGCTACTCACTAGGCCCTTTGTTGCATCCTGGAGATCATGGGGGAAGCAGATAGGAAGAGATGGGCCAATGTGGGGATGCTATCTTGGGCACACCTGGAAGAGGAGTCCCCTTCTCCCACCCCTGTCACGTAGGGCAGGATTATTTCCTTGCAGTTTCCCCACGGTGCTGAGCACAGCCTGAATCCTACCCATCTCCGAATGTCAATGCCAGCACAACCTTGGTGAGCGCTTGATGGACAGAGGCCGAGTGGGCAGAGTCCTTTGTGTTCTGAGCCTGAGATGCCCAGGGTTTGTCTGGGATCTTAGCAAGGAGAGGTGGTGTCCTATTTTGCAAAGACTGGAGTGGGGGAGGTGTTGGGATGCACAGATTTGTGTGTGCAAAAGCTCTCAGGGTGGGGCATCAGCTTTACACTGGGTTTGGCCAGTGGTAATTAATTCAAAACTAGGACAGATCCGCCCGTGTCTGTCTGAACATCCATGTGCATTACTTGATGCTCTATTTAAAGACACCAGAAATAAAGGCGGAAGCAGAACTCCTCTTAATGCACTTGCCATCGGTTAATTAAATTACTTTGAGTGTTTTTTCCCCTCCCTCGAACATGCCTCCAGCATCAACTCAATTGCATTTCTACTTTTCACAGTGAGGTTAGCAATTTGGGTTAATTGTGGGTGCAACTAGAGATTAATGGCCTCTTATTACCTCCCTGGAAACACTTTGCTGCTCATGGTCAAGTCAGCAGCCTGCAAACAGGCAGGGCCCTGTGCTGCCCAGAAACCCCCACGTGAGGGCGCAGGGCAACAGCAGCACCCCCCCAGGGATGCTCACCTGATGCATGCAGGTACTCGCCACACACACGCACACTCACGCACACGCCTCCCTCTGCCTCAGGCCCAGAGGGAAGCAGCACAGCACAGACTCTGAGGGTAAAAAGGGACCTGGGTTGAAGCCTCAGCTCTGCCACTTCCTAGTTGAATGAGCGTGGAAAGGGCACTTGACTTCTCGAAGCTTCGGGGTCCTCCTCTGTGACACAGGGATAAATAATAGCTCCTGCCTCATAGGGTCAGAGTGAGGACTGGATGAGGAGACACGTGGGTTGCTCTCAGCACACTGTCCCGTGCTAACTGCGATCACGGTCCTTATCAGGACCGCTATTACTTTATCTTACTATCCTCATTATCATTACTGCCGCTGCTGCCAAACAACATTCTCGGCACCTTGCAGCCCGAGTCCCCAACAAGCAGCCCCGGGAGGCTCCCCAGGCAGGGAGATGCGACCCTGGGGTGTCCACGTCATCCTGGGACGCACTGACCAGCCACCTCCAGCAAGTCCGGAGCAGCCCTGGGGAAGCCGCTGAACTTCTGTGAGCCTGTGGGGGACTGGGGATGATACTCTCCCCCTTACGTGGGCATTTCCAGGCTGACCGTGTGTGTGAAGCGCCTAGCCCCGTGCCCAGCGCACAGCAGGTGTTCCTAAGTGGCAGCTCCACTCTGGGGACAGGGATGACAGCAGGCCCAGGAGGAAATCAGGCAAGAGACGAGGGCATGGGGATTGGGGGGTGGGGCATGGTGGGGAGTGCGGGGCGGCCCCGATGGAACGAAGATCGGGGATTGCTGAGTCCTAGAGCCCCCCTCGGCGTGCAGTGTGCCCACACCCGCCCCCGCCCACCGCGGCCCCGGACGGGAACGCCGCTGGCCACTGTCATTGGCACCTGGTACAGGAACACCGCACCTACACAACCCCAAGGCAGGCAGATGAGAGAGCGCCGCGAGGTGTGGGCCTCCCTTCTTTGTCATTTGTACGAGACATCTTGATTGGCAACAAAATATTAATCACTTTTTCACTACTCTCTTAATGAGAAGCTTTCATGGGCAACAAAATATTAATTTGTCTTGTCTTATCTGTTAAGAATTCTGTTAATGAATTCAGTCACAGAGCTATTACGGAATGCCATCCTAATGACACATGTAATTAAACTTTTCTGACTTGCAAACATCAAGGATGCCTCGAGCATCAGGATAATATTTGATCAGAAAGTTAATGTACCCCTCTAGCCCGGAGCCAAGTGAGAAGGAGCCTCTCGGATTCCCCACTGAGCGGTGTCACTGTCAGGAGCGCTCCGGAGTCACCCAGTGTGTGCATGGCTGTCCAGATGGTGTACACGGGGAATCAGCCCCTGGATTCGCTAAGTGCCGGGGACTCGCAGGCCCTGAGCCGGAGGGTGGAGCAAAGACACTCTCCCCAGCCCCGAGGGGGACCCCGTATCCACAAGCACAGAATTACAACACAGTATGGCATGTTCTCTATTTAGAAGGAGGAAGCCGGTTTTGGGGGACAGAGGAAGGAGAAGTTCTGGCTTCAGGGGACAGGGATAATCAAGAGAGAGGTCTCGAGTGACAGGGTGGGGCCAGAACCTGACAGGTTTTGAATGTTAACCTGAAGGATCTTGGCCACTCCCTGTGGGTAGTGGGAACCATGGATTTTTAACTGGGGAGTGGCATGGTCAGAAGTTCGTCCTGCAAGAGTCCGGAGCCCCTTCTAGCCTAAGACTACATCTGCAACCAAGGAGAACCCCAGATACATCAGACCCAGAAATGAAAGGGGCCTGCGGGGGTGGGGGAGGGGGTCTGCCTCCTCGGTAACTTCCCTAATGGCGGGAGATCACACTGGAGAAGCCGCCCAGGCTGTCTGTGCGGGGCCGCCAGGGGGTTTAGCGTGGACCTGGTGGGCCCCCTGAGGATGCCTGAGCCACCCCTTTGCAGGAGGCCCGAGCCTCACTGCAGCCCAGGGCCTGAGGGATGGGGCCTCAGCTGCAGCTGGGAAACCGCCCCCCCCCCCAGGAGAGGACAGGGCTGGAAAAAAGAGCGCAGAGTCCCCAGAGATGGGCAGCAGCACCAGGAATCCTGCTGCACCTCTAGGCAAGGGGGCCTTGGATTAGGCTTCCTCCCACAGCCTCCTCCCACGGCCCACTGCAGACAGGGGACCAACGAGGTTAACCTTTGAGGACTCTCCAGGCCGTGAGGTCATATAGTCCTGTGATAGGACAGGGACCTATGGGACACGGGAATCCCACAGAGAAACGAGGAACACCCCTGACCCCACCAGGCCCCTGGCTTTCTCACCTGGGCCACAGAGCCTCAGCCTTCCCCAGCGAGCAGCCCCTGCCGGCCCTGTCTCCTGAGGGCTCGCAGCCAGGCTTTGGGGGCCCATCTCAGAGGCAGATCCATGCACCCCTCCCTGTACCCTGACCACCATACTAAGTATTCTGGGGGTTGAAAGGGAAGGCTGACTTACTTTCTGCAGAAACTGAATGTGCAAACCCCTTCCGGGCCTCAGCCTTCTGCCCAGACCGCGCAGCAACCACTCAGGGTGAAGGGAAGTGGCATCCCCAAAGCTAGTCCGCACGTCCTTCCTCCACGGTTATCACCTGCCCTCCCCTCATGACTGTCTTCCTCCCTGTCCCTTATTACGTCAGGGACCGGGGACCTGCCCGTGAGGGGAGCAGAAGCAGGG